AGTCTCCTTTGCTGTAGTGGGTGGTCTCCTTGTGTCAGGTAGACCCATTCTGTGCCCAGCATGGTTAGAGCCATCTGTCATGAAGCTATCAGTTAGAAATGCTAGAAATGTACATATTTTGGGGGAAATGGAACTAATAAATTGAATTCCTTTAAAAAATAAATTGAAATGCAGCATAAATCCATGAGCAAACTGGATTATATCTGTAGACCAATTTACAGAGTTACTGTACAGATGAACAGAGTTTATTTTTTATTGTAAGCACTGCTAAATTTAATAAAAGTTTCTACTGAACTGTGGACTTCATGTATTAACTTAATTAAAGCAACATCATGGGTGATACTAAAGTGTTAACCTGTGGGAGGTTGTTACTGAAATCCATTATCTGTGGAGTCAGGGTTAGTGGTCAGCAGCATCAGAAGGCTGTTTGCAACCAAGACCCTCCCTTGGGTGCTATGAGCTCAGCAGGTCAAATCCTCAAAAACCAGCACATCTTCTTATAAGACTGATAGTTTGAGCCCCCTGGAGTTAAAGGTGAGCCAGTCATCCCAGTCAGGAAGGTCTACGACTTTATTTAGCAGTTGGGCAAGAATTGCATTTGAGCCTGAAATAAAGGAATTATACCAGTGTCTTCATGTGTAAGTTACTGTATTCATGTATGTTTGTGTACCTTGCTGTTTAATAATAACATTGTAACTTTTAATCTGTAGAAAGTTTTCCTTTATACCTTGGAAGAGGCTGTGCTATGGCCTTCTGAAAATTTTTTAAAAAGATTTATTTATTTATTTGAAAGATAGAGTTACAGGGAGGCAGAGAGAGTGAGGTCTTCCATCCGCTGGTTCACTCCCCAAGTGGCTGCAATGGCCGGAGCTGGGCCTATTTAAAGCCAGGAGCCAGACGCTTCTTCTGGGTCTCCCACATGGGTGCAGTGGCCAAAAGACTTGGGCCTTCTTCCACTGCTTTCCCAGGCCATAGCCAGGAGCTGGATTGGAAGAGGAGCAGCCGAGACTTGAACTGGCCCCCATATGGTATGCTGGTGCTGCAGACTGGGGCTTTACCTACTATGCCACAGCACCTGCCTCCTGAATTTTTTGTTAATAATTAGAACTTTGTGTTTTACTTATACCAGAGTTTTAATTTAAGAACAAAAATAGTGAAATATCAGGGTATCTTTGATTTTGTTTACTTAAACAATTCTGGTGAATTTAATCAGCATAGTTTTTTTGTTCTAATATTATTTATTTGAAAGGGAGAGTTTTAGAGGCAGAGAGAGAGAGTGAGAGAGAAAGAGAGAGCACTTCTATCCTCTGGTTCACCCCTGAGATGGCCGCAATGGCCAGTGCTTGGCCTGGCCAAAGCCAGGAACTTCCTCTGGGTCTCCCACGTGGGTGCAGGAGCCCAAGTGCTTGAGCCTTCTTCTGTTGCTTCCCAGGCACATTAGCAGGGAGCTGGATAGGAAATGGAGCAGCCGGAAGTCAACTGGCACCCAGCACTGCAGGGGGTATGGCTTTACCTGATGTCCCACAACATTGGCTCCAAATTCTTTTTTGAAAAGATTTATTTATTTATTTGAGAAGCAGAGTTACAGAGAGGGAGAAAGAGGTCTTCCATCCGCTGGTTCATCCCCCAAATGGCTGTAATGCTCAGAGATAGACAGGAGTCAGGAGCTTCTTCTGAGTCTCCCACATGGTGCAGGAGCCCAAGCACTTGGGCCATCTTCTGCTGCTTTCCCAGGCCATCAGCAGGGAGCTGGATCAGAATTGGAGCAGCCGGGACTCGAACCTGCTCCCCTGTATGATGCTGTCACTGCAGTGGTGGCTTTATTGCCTACACCACAGTGCCCAGAGACCCTGAGACCTTTTTTTAAACTTCCTTTGCTAGTGAATCTTCTCTATTTGATCCTAATAGGGTTTTGCCAATGAATGAAGGTGTGGTAGTAGAAGAAAGGCCTCCCCCAAAGATATCCAGTTTGTTACCTCTGGAACCTTTGACAATGACCTTATATATATATGTGACAGAGATTTGGCAGATGTGGCTGAGTTTAGGATCTTGAAAGTTGGTGATAATCTAGTGGCCTGACACAGTCACAGGATCCTCATAAGAAGAAAGCAGCCAAGTCAGAGTGGTACAAGGTGTAAGTAAAGAGGCAAGAAGCTGGAGTGATGCGCAAAAGGGGCCTTGAGCCCCAGGCTGCAGGGGCCTCCTGAAGCTAGCCAGGGCAAGGTAACAGAGTCTCCTCCCATAGCTTCTAGAAGGACTTGGCCTCCTTACACCTTGATTTTAATGCTGTGAGACTTGTTGCTGAGCTTTGCCCTCCAAAACTGTGAGATAATATATTTGTGTTCTTTTAAGCCACTGAGGTTGTGGTCATTAGTTACAGCAGTGACTGGAAATGAGTTCAGAGGGATGGTTGGACATCATCAATGTGTCAGTTATATTAGCATATCAAAGGAAAAATCTATGAGCATCTCAATAGATGGAGATAAATCTCAGTGAATTTACATTCTCATTCATGAAGAGGAACTAAAGTATTTGGGAGTGTTTGTCAGAATGGTTCCTAAAATTAATTTCATATGGAGCACTTTGTCCCGGGTGAACTACTATTCAGACATGGACTTTTGGATTGTTTGCTTAGTATTAGATTTCTTAACATACATTGGCTTTTTACCTGAAGGTTTGAAATGAGTACTCACCTAACCTTCTCTCCTTCTTCCCTTATCTGTAGTCTTTACCCCACCTTTTCCTTCTTGTTCTTTCTCTGTCTTTCCTGATTCCCCTCAACCCTCACACCCCACCTTGCCCCCAGCCACGATTCCTACCCCCTCACTGGCTCCCTGACCAGCCTTTGTGTTGCTGCTCCTGGCATTTTGGATTCCTAATGGATAGCCAGTTCTGATGATTATGGCTCGGACCCACGACAAGTTAGTCACAGAAACCGGTTCATATTTTGATCCTGAAGCTGTTTGCAGCCTCCCTAGGTCCCTGGTCTCTAGAAGCTATAGCCCAGACAATGTGTGCTGGACTTCTCCTCAGGACTGGAACAGCTCCACCTTAGCCTGGTTTTAACCAGTGACCCTGGCTGTCTTCCCATTCTCCTGCACAGCATGCTTAACCATTTGCACTTTGTATTTGGCACTTCCAGCTTCTGGAGGAAGCAGCAAGTAGTTAGCCTTGTTCATTTTTACACATTTGTCCTGAATTTCAAGTTTGTGAAATGTTTACCATTTATTTCTGCCTGCCTGTCTTTCTTGTTTTCATCTCTAGATTTCATTGTCATTGCTGTACATTTGAAGCAGAAAAAACTTTTGCAGTATTAACTTATGCCATACTTTCTAGTCCTAAATTTACTATGAAGACCCAGTACAAGTGCCAGATCTCAAATTGTATTTTTGCTCAGTTCCAAGCATCAGTTTTCTTTTCTTTTCTTTTTTCTTTTTTTTTGACAGGCAGAGTGGGCAGTGAGAGAGAGAGAGAGAGAGAGAGACAGAGAGAAAGGTCTTCCTTCTCCATTAGTTCACCCCCCAATGGCCGCTGCAGCTGGCGCACCGCGCTGATCCGAAGCCAGGAGCCGGGTACTTCCTCCCGGTCTCCCATGCGGGTGCAGGGCCCAAGGACTTGGGCCATCCTCCACTGTACTCCCGGGCCAAAGCAGAGAGCTGGACTGGAAGAGGAGCAACCGGGACAGAATCTAGCGCCCTTACCGGGACTAGAACCCAGTGTGCTGGCACCGCAGGTGGAGGATTAGCCTATTGAGCCACGGCACCAGCCAAGCATCAGTTTTCTAAGTAATGCACTTGATATTTCACTTGCTTGTCATGGGATCCATTTAAGTTGGATTGGGATTTAATCTGTGTGTGAGCCCCACTCAGCATGTCTAGGCATTGTTTTGCTAGCTCTAGATCTCTGTCACCAGTCCTTGATTTGACCTGGTACCCTTTCCTCTGCTGATGGTAAAATGGTTGCTATAAAGGTGGAGAAGCAAAGGGACAAGTCCAGTAAGTACCTTTCAATAAGAGGTAGACCACATGTAGATGGCGATAGTGGATTTATATCGGGCTAATTCATCTGCAAAGGAACCTGTGTTAAGGAAGAGAAGCTCCAACATGGATAAAAAATCAGATATGAGTTTACTATTGTCATCTCCATCCATTTACTTATTCAATAAATGCACTGCATTGAGCATTCTCTAGGTGCTTGGGGTGGGGTGTGGGGTATACAGTGGCGAGTTTGTAGGCTTTCTAAGGACTTTGGTTGTCTACATGGAAAAATGATAAGTTCAAGTAAAACTGCTATAAATAGTATTTGAAAATAACTTCCTTTGTAAACAACTGTTTTGTGCTTCCAGGCCTTCCTGTGAATCAGTTACATAACGATTTAGTTTCCTAGTCTTTACTATATTCCCCGAAAGGATACTAGTAGTTTAGTGTGGCGAATTTTATAATTGAATCGAGCAAAGCCTCTTTAGTGAGCTGTTCTAATTACGCTACAGACCCCTCGGCTGCACTGATACGCCCAGTTGGGATGCTCTGCATGTGATAGAGAAATTCAGTTTCACAACCACACAGACCCGTTTTTGAAGGCTTCATGTGCAGTCTCTGACTTCTGATGGTTCAGCTTCCGACAGTTTGACTTTTTGATGGTCTAAAACCAGTAAGCATTTGGTAGAAACTGCACTTGGAGTTTTGTGTTTGACCTGTTTCCATGTTGTGATGGACGCTCAGATCCTCTCTTGTGCTGCTGGGCATCGCAGCAAGCACAGCTCCTGAGCAGCCCTGCAGTCACGAGGGGAAGGAAGCCGCACGTGGCAGTGTGCAGTGTGCAGTGCTGCTGAGCCGGGAAGTTCAGTAGGTTAGGTAGATGCAGTACACTTCTATGCTGCTTTCAACTTACAAAGAGTTTATCAGGATGTTAACCCCAGCATAAGTCAAGGAACATCTGTAGTTTTTCTTCTCAATGAGAAATGTTTCCCTGTATCAATTTTTTCCTGTAAAATTTTCTGTGTGCTTGCTTTGGCAGCACATATACTAAAACTGGGACAATGCAGAGATGGTTAGCATGGCCCCTGCATAAGGATGACACACATGTGTGAAGTGTTGCATACTTTTGACGCTGTGGAGCAGCGTGGACAGTATAAACATGCAGCAGTGAGTGGGGACACCACCTGTGACTCCCACAGCTGGGGGCTAGCTTGTGAGGGCAGGCTCTGGTGCCCCTGTCACTGGTGATATTGCCCGAGGGGGAGCCTTGCAGACCACACTGACTTTGAGTCTGGCCTGGAGCCCTAGTGGGGCCCTGTGAAAGAAAAGTTTATCTCTTTCCCTTCATCCCCCCACAAGGGTGCCCTGCAACCTGCAGGGAGAAAGCTCCATCATAATGCCAGTAGAGGCTGTGGCAGCTCCTGCACGACTAGGAGATTTTATCAGAGGGAAAAAGCTGCATCCCCCACGGAATTTGACTGGCTTGGAGGGTTGGCAGGGGGCTGGGCACCCACTTAGGACTGTCAGGTGCTCCTGTTCCCCCCACCATATCACAGGTTACAGGGCTCAAACTGCCAAGGTGGAGCACCTATAGGTAGCTGGCTCTGGGAATGCCAGGACTGGATGGCTTCACTGTTGAATTCTACCACCCTCTGAAAGATGAACTAATTTCAGTTTCTCTCAAACTGTTCAAAAACAATTGAAAGTAAGGGAATCCTCCTAAACTCCTTCTTTGAGGCCAGCTTTACCTTCATTCCAAAACCAGAAAATGATACAACAAAGAGAACTATAGACTGATATTGCTTATGGAAATAGATGAAAAAATCATCAGCAAAATACTAGCTAATCAAATCCAACAATACATCAGAAAGATCATTTACCCAGACCAAGTGAGATTTATCCCTGGTATTCAGGAATGGTTCAACATATGCAAATTAGGAAGTATGATATCACATTAACAAACTGAAGAATAAAAAACATGATTATCTCAATAGATGCAGAGAAAGCATTTGATAAAATATGACATCCTTTCATAATAAAAACCATAAGCAAATTAGATATAGAAGGAACATTCCTCAATACAATCAAGGCAATATGAGACAAACCTACAACCAATATCATATTGAATGAAAGTACATTTGATAATTTTTGCTTTTTTTCAGATTTGTTTATTTGAAAGGCAGAGTTACACACATAACATGGTTGGATGTGGGGGGAAAGAGGGAGAGAGGAAGAGAGATAAAAGAGAAATATCTTCCACCTGCTCCATTCCACTTCACTCCCCAAACAGCCACGACAGCTGGGGCTGAGCCAGGCTGAAGCCAGGAGCCTGGCACTCCATCTGGGTCTTCCACGTGGGTAGCAGGGGCCCAAATATTTGGGCTTTATCCCATGTCTCTCCCAGGGAGCTGGATCAGAAGTGGAGCATCTAGGAGTTGAACTGGTGCTCATAGGAGGTGCTAGTGTCACAATCAGTGGCTTAACGCACTGTGCCATGGCATAGGCCCCTTAATTCTGCAAAATGAAAAATGTTCTGCAACTTTATTGTGCTGATGGTTCCACATATCTTTTTAAAGACTATGTTGTGGGGCTGGAGCTGTGGCTCAGTGGGGTAACATCCTGGTTGGCCGTGTCGGCATCCCATATGGGTGCCGGTTAAAGACCCGGATGCTCCACTTCTGCAATCCAGCTCTCTGCTATGGCCTGGGAAAGCAGTGGAGGATGGTCCAAGTCCTTGGGCCCCTGAACCCGCCTGGGAGACCCAGAAGAAGCTTCTGGCTCCTGGCCTTGGATCGGTGCAGCTCTGGCTGTTGCAGCCAATTGGAGCATGAACCATCAAATGGGTGACCTCTCTCTTTCTCTGCCTCTCTTCTCTCTCTGTAACTCTGAATTTCAAATAAATAAATCTTAAAAAAAAAAAAAAAACATGTTGTATTTCCATCTTTTTACAGTGTCTCAGTGTCTAAAAAAGTTTATCAATTCTTTTTTTTTTGAGTTTTCATTTCTTTTTTTTTTTTACACAATTATTCTTAAGTGTTGAAACTTAACTGAAAAGTGATCCCTGTTAAATATAAAAGTGTGAATAAGAGAGGGAAGAGTTTATCAGTTTTTACTGGATTTTATTAGCTTGCATTGTGAGGGTTGTAGGGAGTTACAGGGAGTTACAGGCGTTCAACCTGTAACAAATTTTGATTGAGCACTTGTTTCGATGCGGGTGTCTCATATCTTAGGAAAACATTGTTCCTACATTGTAGTTGTGATATGCTGTGTAGTGGAAAATAACAGTGTTTTGCAAATGTAGAACAGGGGGCTCTGAGACAGTCTCTGAGGGCTTACAAATTTATATTCTTGAGAAAGCAACATTTAAGGAGAGTCCTGAAGGGTGACAGGGGTTAGGTGAAGGGTAGGGGTGGGAGGAGACATCACTGGGCAGAACAAAGCGTTGGAATTTCAGGTAATTAAATACAAACAATAGTTTTTGTCTATTGACCTCTATCTTGTCATCTTGTTAAACTTGTTAGTTCTAGGAATATTTTTGTAGATTCTTTGAGATTGTTTACAATCATATTGTCTATGAATAGGGACAGTTTTATTACTTCTTTTTATAATCTGTATGCCTCTTATTTCTTTTATTTTTTACTGCTCCTGCCAGGAATTCCAATGTGGTGTGGAATAGGAATGACAATAGTGCATGTTCTTGCCAGTCTTTGTGGGAAAACATTCAATCATTGGGAGTTAAGCATGGTATTAGCTTTAGGTTTTTTGTAGATATGCTTTATCTGGTTGAGGGAAAGCCTGTCTGCTCCTAATTTGCCAAGAACTTTTATTGTGAATAGATGTTGAATTTTCGCTTATGCTTTTTGTAAACCAATTGATAGGTTATGTGGGTTTTCCTTTGATTGTAATATGTGAGCTTACACTGAGTAATTGATTTTTTTTTTTTTTAATATAGAGCCAGTCTTGCTTTCTGAGAATAAACCCTTGTTAGTTGTGGAGACATTACTCTTTTTTATATAATGCTGGATTGGATTTTTTAATATTCAGATTTTTTCATCATTGTGTATATGTGTTTTTTAAAGATGTTGGGGCCGGTGTTGTGTAGTGAGTTATGGTGCTGCCTGCAATGCTGGTATCCCGTGTTGGCAGCGGTTCCAGTCCTGGCTGCTCCACTTCCAGTCCAGCTCCCTGCTGATGTGCCTGGGGAAGCAGCAGAAGATGGCCCAAGTACTTTGGCCCCTGTCGTCGCATGGGGGACCTAGATGAAGCTCTGGCTCCTGGCTTTGGCCTGGCCAAATGTTGTGGCCATTTGGGGAGTGAACCAGCAGGTGGAAGATGTCTCTAACTCTCCCTCTCTCTCTCTGTTACTCGCCTTTTGAAAATGGGGATTTATTTATTTGAGAGAGATAAGGAGAGAGAGAAATCTCCCATCTGCTGGTTCACCCCAAATTGTTGCAACTGCCAGGTCCGGGCCAGGCCTTTGCCAGGAGCTCCATCCCGGTCTCCTGCATGTGTGCAGGGGCCCTGTCACTGGAGCTACTTTCTGCGGCTTTCCCTGGCACATCAGCAGGGAGATGGATTAGAAGCAGTAGTTGTCACAGGTTGAACTGCTGCTCTGTTATAGGGTGCTCATGTTGTAAGCATTGGCTTGACCTGCTGTGTCAGAAAGCTGGCACCAGGATGCAAAAAATTTTGAAATCTATGCATTGTTTTTCATAATGTATGTTTTCCATGATCTTTTTGAATAGTCTCGTATTTTGTTAGTTTGGTATTTTTTGGAATGGTCTATTTTTTCATCTAAATTGTCCAATTTGTATATGTTGAATTGATAGAATTCCTTTATTTTCCTTTTAATACCTCTAATCTGTACTGATATCTCTTTCATTTGTGATATTGGCAATAATTTGTGTTTATTTTTTCTTGTTAATCTTGTTAGAGATTTGTTAAATTAATTTTAATTTATTTTTTTAAAGATGTATTTATTTATTTGAAAGAGTTCCACGGAGAGAGAGAGAGCGAGAGAGCGTGAAGTCTCCTATCTGCTGGTTCACTCCCCAGTTGGCTGCAACAGCTGGAGCTGCACCTATCTGAAGCCAGGAGCCAGGAGCTTCTTCTGGGTTTCCCACGTGGGTGCAGGGGCGCAAGGACTTGGACCATCCTGTACTGCTTTCCCAGGCCATAGCAGAGAGCTGGGTCTGTAGTGGTGCAGCTGGACCAGTGCCCACGTGGGATGCCGGCACTGCAGGCGGTGGCTTTACCCACTGTGCCACAGCACTGGCCCCTGTTAAATTTACTGATGCCTTTGAAGAACCAGCTTTTGTTTTCATAGTCTCCCCACCCTCTTAATTGTTTTTCTCTTTTAAATATCAGTGATATCTTCTTTGTATTATTTTCTTCTACTTGCTTGAAATTTATTTTGCTTTTCTTTTGCTAGTTTGTTACAGTGTGAACTTTGATTATTGATTTGAGATTCATCTTATTTTTGTTTTATAACTTTAAAAAATTTTTTTTTATTTGAAAGAGTTATTGGGTGAGAGGGAGATATCTTCTATCTGCTGGTCCACTTCCCAGATGGCCACAGTGGGTAGGGCTGGATCAGGCAGAAGCCAGGAGCTTCAAACAGGTCTCCAATGTGGGTGCAGGGGTCCAATAACTTGAGCTATCCTCTGCTGCTTTCCCAAGTGCATTAGCAGGGAACTGGATTGGAAGGTGGAGCAGCCGAGCCTCAAACTGGTGCCCATTTGGGGTGCCGACATCAGAGGTGGTGGTTAAACCCGCTAAGCCACAATTCTGGCTCCATGTTTTTATAGCTTGTAAGGGCTACTTTAAGTCCATCCAAGAATTTATTATATATTGTATTTTCATTTTTAAAAAATGTTTATTTCTGCTTAAAAGTCAGAGAGAGAGGGGTATCTTCCATTTGCTGATTGACTCCCCAAAATGTCTGCAACAATCAGAGCTGGGCCAGGGTGAAACCAGGGGGTGGGAACTCCAAATGGGTGTTCTGTGTGGGTGGCAGGGCCCCAAGCACTTCAGCCAACACCACTGCTTTCCAGGATGCGCTATTAGAAAGCTGGATCAGAAATGAAATAGTGGGGACTTGAACTGGCACTTTGATATGGGAGGTGGGC